AATAAATTGTTTCTGCTGTATGAAAAGTATTTACCCTTAAAATTTTTAATTTAAATGTTTCTGCCTTAGCAACTTCAAGATATACATTTTAATTGTCATTCAGCGATTAAGTTGATGGCGAATGACATTTTTAGTGGGTCAGTTATAACTTTACGAACTTCAAACGCTAAATTTCGGGGTTCGATTCCTCACGGTGGACAGAGCACAGGTAGTTCATTGTGTATAGCTACGCTAAAACAACAAGAAATATTAAGATTAGTGATGTAATGCTAAATTTTAAGGTGAGAGGTCAACGCAATCTCCATTACTCCTACCCTCCTCTGATAAGACAGCTAATTATGAAAATGATGATTTAATTTGCTTGTTTGTTGTTAAGCACAAAGCTATGCTATGGGCTATCTATGCACTGTCCACTGCGGGTTCTGAAACCCGATTTCTTAGCATTATACGCCTCAGACTTATAGCTAAGCCACTGGAAGGGGTATTTAACATGGCTACTGGGTTTACTAATTAATTAGAAAAGTAAAGAAGTGGCGTTGGACTACATCACTGATAAAGACAATAAATAAAAGTATTAGGCAATTGGATTCACACATTTCAAATAATGCAGAATTTCTTTGGATAAGAGCACGAAAACCTTAGATTTATTATTGTTGATTATATATTTCATAAAATCTTTAAAGTTAGTCACAGCTGAAAAGGAAATATTAGTAAGCCATATATTTGGAAAAACCAAACATAGTGTTATGTTACTTTTTAATTGAAACTTGACCGTCATTATTAAGATTATAGGACAAAGATTAGTTTTTAGATACATTTTATCCTTCAGAAAAGCTCATAACATGCTTCTTTAAGAAATTGGATGTTATCCAAGCAAACTATTACGAGATATTATATTTGACCATTAGATATATATATTAAAGATTTGAAATATCAATGAAATCTAGATATCTCCTCCTTTTTACAGTATAGCAGTTGTGACATGCGCACATCAATTATGCGATTTCGTACTGCAGTTGGTAATACCGTCTAAAATGTATTTTATTTTGTTCAAAGCACTAGCTTAAACTTATTCGTTGAGATTTATTTTAATCCTAAATTACGAAAAAATAATAATATAAAAAGCGAATTGTTAGGAACAACTGCTTTGATTTAGACCAAAACCACATTGAGATATCTGGTGTGTTCACAGCTGGGAATCGAATCCCGGATTTTTGCGTTGTAAGTCCGTAGATTTACCATTGTCTCACCGGGAATAAGTAAATGATATTATTGTAAGGTAACTTACGTATTTTACTATGATATATTAAATATATATATTATTTTATATTATGCGATAGGAAAATCTTTTGATGAATGTTAAAAAGATGTCACTCTGCTTGCAGACATTTGTATTTAACGTGTAGTTGTTTCTTTTGATGTTTTGTCATGTTAAGTTTAGCTGCCATCCCATTTTATTTTGTTGAATATAGAGAATTCTATCTGTTATCTGACGAAGACATTTTCCAGATTTTAGAAGTGGATCGATCACATTCGATTTTCTATACTTGTCTTATTGCTTAATCAATATTGATCTAAGCGCACAGAATTATTATCTTTGCAAATCCACTACTATTTTTTCCTTGCTTTCAGCAATCATTAATATGTTAGAGTTTTATGTATGTGCGTGGATTTCTTTAGCGATCCTTCAAATATGATAGTTAGAATGTAAAACGATATTTCCAAAAATCAAAACTATGATAAAATTATTTTATGACATTTTGTTTCTTGTATCACAGTTTGTAGAGGTCAGTTGATCATGCAAACTTATTCTCTGTTAAAGTAACTGATGCGTGAACGTAATTATACTAACTTGTTAACCAACGTTTGAAATGTTCACACCTGATTATCCTTTAAAACGGGAACCATTTCTAACATATATTTAAGGAAACGAAAAAGACACTAGGTACACAGACATTTCTCGATGGTAATCTATTATATTAATAAGCACGTTCAAGGACTTAGAATATTGCTAAAGTCGCTTTTAACAAATGCATTCACATTATACAAGAACATTAATTTTATATTTTATCATTTGTATTTAATGGAGTATTATATTGGTACAACCAGTTCAAATGAAAATCGTTATTACTAGGTTAATTTCCTTTTATGGGAGTACTACATGGTCGATATTATATGACACTATATGATTATCGATATCTCTAGATAAGGACAACAAAATAGGTCAGATAGGAGAAAGTAGATTTGAGAATAACAATACACACAATATTAATTAGAGCGCTATAAACATTATATTTTCTTGATTCACAAGAAGATGTGCAGATGAAAAGAAAAAGTTAAATATAATGCCAGTAACTAAAATCAAACGTTTGGACATCGCATTTGCTTTACTCAGTGGTGACTAATGAAATTGGTTCGGAAGCCAACCCTTATATTGTGGTATAAGCATTTTATAATCAGAGATCTAGATATTAAACGGGATATTCTTCATCATCAACAACAACAAAAAAGTATGTTATCAAAATTAAAAGGAAATAAAACTGAAGACACGTTAATGAAAACTAAGGATTTCTAAAAAAACATTATACTTACAATAAAAGGAAAACAATAAATTAGGAAATGTGTAAACAACAATATGAATTAGATCAAGTTAAAATCAAATAAACTAAAAGTGTACTTAATAAGCACAAAAAGCCTTAAACGTAATATTAAAACAAAACTGAAAAATTCATTATGATATGGGAAAATTAGATAACAAGGTAGAAGGTTAAAATAAAACTAAACATAAACACACATTTGTACTATACTGTTCATAAAATAAACTGTTTTGGGAGCTTTCAGAATTAGACTTTATATCTATTTATATATCTTAATACATGCACACATTTTAGGCTACATTTTCACCCGTAATGTTTCCATTCAATAAGACATTAGGGCAAAAACAGCTATAACTTCCAACTCTAGGTGTAAAGTATACTTATAAATTATCAACATGCCACACAGATGAATTGAAAAATGGTCAAAAGTAAATGTTATATAAGTGTGAGGGGTGTCCGAATAGTTCATGTCCGACCTACAAAGAAAAAGACGTTGGTTCAACTATGGTTTATTTTTCAACATAATCTCCTCTTGAGTCTTTACACTTACGCTAGTGGTGCTCTATAGCCTTTATGCCTCTCTTAAAGAACTATTCTTCTTGGTCCTCAGTCCATGACTTGACGGTGTGTACGAGATCATCATCACCCTGAAATCTTCGATCTTTCAGAAAGATTTTTAGGTTAGGGAAGAGAAGAAAAGTCACTTGGAGCTAAATCCGCTGAGTGATGGGGTAATTGAGTAATTTGAAGCCAGCATCATGGATAGCGTTCAAAGTAACACGCGATTTGTGAGCTGGGGCATTGTCTTGATGAAATAGAACACCTTTTATAAGCAATCAGCTTTTATTTTCCTTGATTTATTGATTAAGGATGTATAGCAGTCTTTTGTAACGGTTTGGCCCCTTTCAAATAATGAATTAGTAAAACACCCTTGACATCCCAAAAAACTGATATTATGACCTTCCCAGCAGAAGGTTGTGACTTGAACGTCTTTGGAATGGGGGAAGTTGAGTGTTTCCATTGTAAGCTTTGCATTTTTGTCTCTGGGTCGACCCCACGTTTCATCCGTAGTTATGAATCTATTGAAACCTTTGGAGTAGGCGTTGACTTTCAACAACTGTTTCTGCTCAGGTGGCAACATTTTTGGAACCCATCTGGCACTAACGTTAATGATGCCGAAACTGTCACTCAAAATGTTAACTTCCTAATGGTAATTATTCTATCATATTTTGGTCGATGTTTAACGGTGACCTGATCTCAGATCATCTTCACATGACTGTCTACCACGACTCATCACACCACATTTTCACTATTTAATATGCCGCAGCACCCTCTCCCAATGATGTTTCCATGTCCTAGTGGATTTCTTGTGGTGTCATTTTCTTTTTAACAAAATATTTGATCACGGCACGAAGTTCGATCTTCTTCATGACGTTTAACCCTGCTAACTTTATTTCTTCAAAAATCGGCAACACACACAATGTAAGCTTGTTAATTATACGTTGCGTGTTATTTCCTCATAAAAATAGTTCAAACTTAATATTTATCAGAAAAATTATACATTATAATATTTTAAGTCGGGCCACGATCTTTTCGGACAACCCTCGTATGTCACCAATCGATTGTTTCGTGTCCAAGCAGTTTGAAGATCATTTAGGAGAATGTAATTCGAAGATGAACATCATATATTCAAAAGCAAATACAAGGCCTTTCATAAATAATATGTTATTGGAACGAACACACAGATGAAGAAGCATTGATTAAAAGGACTTGCTTCACATTTTCGTCTATATAATCATAGCAACTTCTTTGTTAGATAAACCCACACCCTAATGGTACCATTCTCTAAACTCTCCAAGAAATATTGAACAAGTTATATATTCCAATGAATGTTAAATGATTTGGTGGTAAGTTTCAGGTTTTCGAAGTACTTATTGAGTTTTTTTTTTATAATCTATATATCAAAGTATTATACTGCCGGTGTAAGTACTAAGAGAAAAACAAGTACATAAATGAGTTTACGTTGACAGAAATACATATAGATAGTTCCTGCAAATCGATTCACGATATATCTGTTCACATGTTACTGCTGTGGGGCGTTTTTTACAAGATGCTTTTAGCAGTTTCAGACACTGAGATATATAAATTAAGAATCATCGCCCATGATACAGCAGAATTCAGTATAACTGGCTTAAAAAGCAACAGTGTAATTAGTAGCATAGTATCATATGGATATTTATTTTTACGTTAAATAAAATCCTAGAAATACAAAATTTAAATATTAGTTTATTATACTGAAACTTTTTCCTTTTAAAAATATAACACAAAGTAAAAAAGATTTTTTTATTCAAATCAAATATCAAGAGAGGAAATTTACTAATTTTAATATTTATATAACAACAGGAGACATCACAGATGACAATCAATCACCAAACAGTACAAAAGGATTTCAATGTTGCTCTAAGAAACTGCCGCGAATTATTCTCGGAATATTTCTGAAACTATTGTTTGCTGGTTCATGGGCTGGAGCTGCACACTTACTCAAGTTAACTTACATATCAACTTTTCACCTTGCTTCAGACTTTGCTCCAAATGTGACCACTGGACTTATAGAAGAAGCTAAAATTAATGTTGTTACTTCACTGCCAACAATGACACCTTCTTCCTTTAACGCACCTTTTTTCACAACTTGGTTTTGCACTATGTGGAATATATTCTTTTTTCCTATCTACTTGGGATCAAGAGCATTGACACAACCTGAAAAGGATACAACAAAAAAGGTTATTTTGTAAGTTTTCTTTTAGTTTTTGAACTAAGTATATTTCAAAGGCTTTAAAATATACGTACTGCTTTTAGAATAAAGAACTTATTGTTAACATCACGAATTTTACATTTCAAAACTCCAAACTATAATAACATTCTTTTCCAGAAAATGAAAAAAAAATTCATGTTTCTTGTTTCATTCATACTGAAAACATGTTTTGCAAATTTGAAAACAACTTTGCTTTTGTATTTTTCATATTTTATAAATAATATAAATCTATAATTCTAAGTTAATACGCATTAGCATTTAAACTTAGCTTCTATACACTCAGCTTCTATACGATTAGTTTAATTAATAGTTTTCGATATTAGTTCAGCTAAGCCATTTTTATGTTTTCATGTATAGTTCTTTACTCAACACCAGTAACCTAAAATACTTTAGGTATTTGAATAAAATTTGACTATGCCGTATAGTCACATGTTAATCAAACATCTAAAATATTTTAGGTTATTAGTGGTGAGTAAACACAATATAAGGTCTAATGTATTTATTTGTTTCGCTCTCACAAATAGTACTAATGAGCCGTGTATTCAACGAAACTAGTCTACTGCAGAGGAGTAGCGAATCAAAGAATAGATTGGACTTCAACGCCATTTTCGGATTCTTTCTCTTCTTCACCGAAAGTACATAATACAATATAACATATCTTTAAAAGATAGCAGGAAATATTTTAGTCTATCTAGGCCGTCTTATCCACTAAATTAAACTAAGCACTAAAAAGTTCAGAGCCAGTTCTTGCCATTCAAATATTTATCAAGTTTTCCCTTAAACTGTCTTACGTTAACTGCATCTACCACACCTGAAGACAACCCTTTCCAAAGTCTAACCCCCCTGTTAGAAAAATAAAGCTGTCTTAGCGGAAGATGACTCGCATCCTGCCAAAATTTAAATTTTTGTCCCTTAGTCTTACCATTTGCACCATTAAATACGAAAAAGGTGATGCATCAACACTCTCAATTCCATTAACAATTTTAAACACCTCAATCAGATCTCGTCTAGCTTTTCTTTTTTCAAGAGAAAACATGTTCAGAGATCTTGACATAGCTTCGTATGACAACCTTTCAATTCCAGGTATCATCCCATTGTCTCCCCTCTGTCCAACAATTCAATGTCGTTTTTGAGGTAAAGATCCAAAGACTGAACACAATGCTTCAAATATGGCCTAAAACATGGCTCATACAATGGCATTATAACATCTTTAGACTTGTATTCAAAATTTGTGTAGATATAATCTAAAATCATGTTTGTCCTACCACTAGCAACAGCGTATTGCTTGGATGGTTTAAGAGATAGAACATCAAGTTCTTCTTCTTCCATAACACTGTAAAAGTTATTCCCATCAAAATTATACTCATAATTCAAACTGTGATATCCCACATGCATTGCCTTACATCTAATATAATCAAAAGTAATCTGCTATTTATTCGCTCAACCCACCAAATAATTCAAATCCATTTGTTTATGTGAAGAAAAGAAAAAAATCCAAATAAGCCATTTTGGTTGAACATTATGTGTCGTATTATTGCAAGTTTAGAGTTAATATAGAAAATGTATGTGATGCGTTTAATATATATATATACATATATGCTTGTATAAATAATTATTTATCAAAATGTATTGCAGCGAATGTGTTCGTCAATTTCACGAGAAAGGTTTCACGACAACGCAATTCTTCGGACGGTGTTCATTATTCTGCCTCCTCTCGATCGTAACTAAGTACATGTTTATCTATTCCATCGGTATCCTAGATACGACTGACGTTCTTGCTTTGTTTTCGTCCAGAATTTCTTTCATCTACCTTTTGTCTTGGGTTGTTCTACATCAACAATTTGTGGGTTTAAAGGTAATTAAATAAGAAGTAGCCGTATTAAATTTCATTTCAAGAGTGATGTTTATTCATCACGATATTTATGCCATGTCAGAATTAATGAATTACTAAACAGTAATGAGAAATGTTCTTCATTTGTGAGTTTGAGAATTGTGTTTAAAAAGTTTTAATGTTCCTCCGTAGAAGTAGATTTACCAGTGGTCGAGTATATTTTTTTGCTAATTTCTCAAGGGTATTGAGTATAAATAATAAACAGGTCTACATTATTACTTTGATACAGATTTTTTACATTAATGTATATATATTACGTGTATATTATTCTTTATTTTATGTCATAAACTATTACATCATTTCTAAAAAAATTATCATAACAAGTATTTTTTAATAATCATACGTCCAAAACATCTACACATAAACCAAGTTTAATCAAAATCAATTTAACATAATAAGAATAGCATCAATGATAATGGCAGACGACAAAGAACTCATAACATTTTCGAATAAAGAATGGAGTCAGAGGTCGATATATTATATTTGAAAATAACGTTATTAAGCAACCGTGTGTTTGTGAAATGCCCAGTGTTAGTCCTCTATTAATTGAATAAAACTTTAAATAAACATGAAATAACACGGTGTTTCTTATATAAAGAAATAAAGCTCAATGCCATTGAAAGTTTTAGTTTAAAATTTTAGTTTACGTATATTTTGTTTCTAATGCAGTGCAGTCAGTATACTTAGTGTCCTTATGTGATTTTAGTGAACTTTTCATCAAACAACACAAATACCTTCCTATCACGTGGCCCTAACATGGCGTAAATATATTTTGAAATGTTTCGATTTATAAAGATATGTCAATATATATTGCATACAATTAGTTCTTTTCATTTTGAAATATCTGAGTTAGGATGGTAATACTATTTCTTTCGACATGAAAATCGTTAGTGAGGAATTAATGTATTGTACTTTCTATTCTCAGAAATGTCAGCTTTATTAGTAGGCTTTGTTAGTCCAGTTTTAATGAAATTAGTTCTCTTGCTTCTATTATAGGTTAAAGCAATTCTTTGTGGGCTCTACAAAGCTGGAAACATTTTTCATTCTTTAATTTCTAGAAAAACAGTATCTCAGAATATCATGAACCACGAAGAAATTGCACAAAACCCTAATAAAACGTTCGGGCAAAAAATCACATTAAACAGTAAAGATTCAATTCAAACAATACCTTAAGATCTTTACTGTTGACTGCTCAGGCTATATACATATAAAATGCACAAAAACACGTATGTTAGACTTTCAAGGAAACGAAAATACGCTCAAATTGGCCCTTTTGTAATACTTCTTCTTCTAATTATTATTCTTTTGCCAGCCTACAACAAAAACGGCGTGGTATATTGCACTAAATAAGGTACTGGGTGGTCGTATGGGTATTGAAAAGTTGACTTGTTTCTTCTATATTTCACATAAACTAAAAACATCACAATTCTATTGTAAACAATGTTATCATTATCCTTTGAAGTCAGCTTTCTTACACATTTCCCCTGTTCTTTCGTAAAGCTTAAATACAGGGTGAAACAGAAATTACCAGCCAATAATATATGAACATTAGATGACTGTAGCATGTAGATACTCAATGCTTTGTACACTATACAATCATTGTCTTTAGGGAGCCATCCCCTATATTATGTATGAAGTGAAGGATTAAAAAATATCAACACACACAACATTAAATTTTGTTACACACATTAGTAATTCTAGCAGGAATTGTATTTTGAATAAATAATGTTTACAGTATTTCCGGCCTTGTTTGTTTACTTCTTTTACGATCCATATTTGCAGATTTTAAAATTTCCATTTTTTTTTATTTATCTTGTTATAAAGTAATATGATCAATGGTTCTTTGATTACTGCTAACACGAAAATTTGTTAACAGTCGACAGGCAACGACCACACTTTTACTTTTTAAACAACATTAACCCCATAAGCGAAAGTTGAAGCGATATTTGAACTTTGGAACTTCTGTTTTAAGGGAAATAAACGAGTCTGAAGTTTTGTGTTCCAAATATATCAAAATATCTAAGGAAATTAAAAGCTTATTTTAGGAGTTAATTTATTATTTTGTAATTACTTAATTATGACACAAACGAACTTGGAATAAGATTCTAAAATAATGGAAAGATTAGTTTTATAAATTTTTAAATTTAAACATTTTATCTTTTCTCAAATACAGTTTAATTTACATTAAAAATCTCAGAATTAGACAACTTATATCACTGCCAGTTTATCATAAAATAAAACATTAAAAACGATACACATAAGTAGCTATTTCCATTACAACGCGAGAGGTACCCAATAGCCTATCTGCGCTTTGTTTCTTACGGATATCATACTTAGAATTCTAGAGATATAATCCCTGAAGCTTGCAGCTGAGTCATCGGAAGATATATAAATTGTTTTCGAGTATTAATATTTTACAATTCTGATTCTAATCTTTTATTTTAACGAAATCGAACAGACTTTCATCATTCAAAAAATCGGAAAATACCACTGTTTAAGAATGTATGAGCTGGGATTTTCTTCTTTTCTAGTTTAACAACACATCAACTAAATGGTGCAAGTACACTAAAAATATGTAGTTTGTTTCTCTAAGTTATATTTGATTACTTTCAAATGCTGAAAAAAGAATGTTTCGCTGTTTTTAGATTGTTGCAGTCATCTTATGTAATACAGGAATAGCTATGTTGGCGTACATGGATGGAGTTGCTAAAACTCCAACGCTAGGGGGAGTTCTCTTGGCCTCCGCCTCAGCTGCGGGATCTGCAATTTATGGGGTCAGTATTTCTTTCACCTTTTTTATTTTTCAGATCGTTATAATTAAAACAGAAAGTATCGTAATTTGAATTCAAAACATCTCAGGATATAGTTTTTAAATTTAAATATAAAATTACAACACTTGTACGTCCTATATTTAAGATTTCTTGTGTGTAAGAAAAAAAGAAAGTTTTTATTGAAAGTAATTATAAATTAAGAGAAAAGTACTTAGAATAGTTTTAGTTAGTGTGAAGATTTGGTAAGAGCTCTTTAATTATACAAGTATAAAGAGTTTTAGAGCATCTTAAACTTATTTTTATTTTTCGTACCCGATGGGAAATGCAATTTCACGACACATGAATAAGGAACGTTTGTGAAAATTAACTGAAGAATATAGTGAAATGTAGAAATCAGTTATTTAGCTATTTTGCAACTATTGTATGTAAAATATTTGGACGATTGTAAGTTTAAACAAATTTAACATTTTCAGTGTTCTAAGTTTATTACTTTTGACTATTATATAAATTACTTGATTGAGAGATTAAGTTGATTTTTTTCACGTGGAAGGTTGTTATAGATAAATAAATTGATCAGTTAGTTACACGATTCTATATGTCATAATTTATAGTTTACTGAAGACATATTGCATCAACTATTCCAATACAAAAGAACTAAGCTGATTACTTTTTTATATTGAACTATTTTGCACATATTCTCGATTCATTAAACCATAAAAAATATTTAAAAGCATGTTCACAAAAATATTGAATTTTCTGCTCCCAGAGACGCTTATTTTATGGGAGTGTTTTTAGTGTTACACTGTAAATAGAAATGTCCAAGTTTGAGGACAAAATAAAATTTGATTTTGTGGAAACATATCTATTATCTTAAGTTAAAATAAATATACTTTGATTTAAGACGGTATTACAAATAATGTTCGTAATGATCTCCGAACTAGTGTGGTATAGTTACATACGTGTATGTATATACATATATATTTCTTTTCGTTAGATATTTATAATAACTGTTTCCAAACATTTACAGTGTGAGAAAAACAAAGCAAAAGTACTAAAATTGAAGGATATGAATTGAATAAGTTAGAGCAGAGTGAATGAAATGTTATATAATAGAAGTGCATGTTTATTTTGATAACATTAATATAAACAAGCTATTAGAAGAAATCATATCATATAAGGGCGTACTTTGTACGACGACATGAAACTCTATTCCAAACTTAGAAAACAACTAGTAGCTCTAAATCAAAATTAGACGAGTTTCAGTTGTCGAAGAGATTTCATTTTCAGTTCCTTTAAGCGTTAACAGAAATACAAGATTAATTACAAGCAACATTTAATCAGCTTAGATTATTAATTCTTTATCGATTTTGATTTGTTAAAGCAATGTCGAAACAAAGTTACTTCTACGTTTATTTTTATCATTACGCTGGTTAACAGAAAAAGTTAACCTTTTTCAGATCAAAGAAGACTGAAGAAAATGTTTTGTTTTCTTTATATCATCTATAGTTTTGAAGATATACACATTTATAGTTGTATGGGTTTACAAGACAAATTGTTTATTTAGTATACTTAATGCACACATAATATTTACATTATAGTCATAGCTGTGCGTGCTACCTCTTCAATGGAGCGTCGCTATCGCTACCGCTACAGCAAGAAAAATACAGCGACGCTACTGTTGTCATTATTGCGGCGCTATCGCTACCGCTACTTTGAAACTGGAATTTTTCAAGAAAAATTTTGTTGTAAATGGATAATGTGTTGGTAAATGGTAATACTTTATTGCTACAGTAACATAATACAGACTTCTCAGAACAGCCTGTCAATATTTGTGAATAATGAGGGAAATGCAGCTAACAACCATACAGCCTTCAATACATTCAATGATAGTACTTAAGGAACACAACGTCAAAAAATAAATGATTATAATAATAACAAATGAGCCAGTAAGCTAATATGAAATAATAAGTCTTTAATATTAGACGACATCACGTCCCATAGTATTTGTTCAATTTTATTATTGTTTTAATTTGTTATTTCATTTCAGTAGCATTAATTTCTCACTCGAAATTGTTATACGTCAATCCAGCTTGTTTTGACTTCAAAATGTCTTTCCCTGTTGAGAAACTGCAATATACAGCTGCACTCCATGGAATTGGGGTACTGAATAAATGAAGAGAGATTAAAAAGCTGGTGAAGAGAACAAGCTTGATTCTATATCTTTTAAAGTAGATACTTCTTTGTTCAGTAACATTGTTATTTGATTGTTGCTACTTTGGGACGAATTACTTGTAGATTTTGATTGTTGTTTAAAGCACATGAAGAAGTCTTCATCGTCATCTCCTTCGGTGCTCGAAAGTGACGATAAATCACTTAAATCAACATTTACTGAACTTTCATCACCGCCGCCTTCCATCTTCCCTGAAAGTTTTTAATCATTATTTGTTTTACAGTTTCTTTCCAAGCGTTCGAGATAATCGAAATCAGTTTAAGCCATAGTTGAAGATCAGCTGAGAGAACGTGATCCTCATTGAGAAAGGCAGCTTCAAAGCGCTTCTCAATTCTTGAAATCAAAGCATTAACAAGTGGGTTGCAAATCTGAAGTTGTTTACGACAAAGATTTTTTAGTTTTGTCAAACATGCGGTAAATGTCGGCAGAAGAAGTCCCATATAGGCCTTAGTTTCACTTTGAAGTAAATCCAGCGCGCGTGCTACAGGTCGAATGGCGATTACACATTCTTTGGTGAAGTTTATATTCGAAAGGTTGAAACTGAGCCCTCTCTATCTTCTTTATTATGCTCTCCATACCAACGAATCATACATCGAATTCCACCATATAGCGCATGGAACAACAACACGTTTGCCCAGCTCTTGTTGTATAAGGTCAGCTGCTATCGTGCTGCTGCGGCTCTGTTTGTTCAAAGTGCCCCCAGTGGCACAGCGTAATGTCTACGGACTTACAACATTAGAAACCGGGTTTCGATACCCGTGGTAGGCAGAGCACAGATAGCTCATTGTGTAGCTTTGGGCTTAATTCCAAACAAACAAACAAAAAATTGTTCAAAGCGTCTGAGCCTTCGCAAATGCTGATCGGGACACTTTTTGATTGTACCACTGCTCAGTGCTTTTTATACATTACTGGTTGCTACTAAATTGACTGTATATGCCGCACGTCGAAGATGCTTGGGGAGAAAGAAAACCTCAGTTAACTTTGCTCACTACTAATGATGTCAGAAATGCTGTACAAGTTTATTTCCTTTTCCTTTTCTTCATCTCTTGATTCGAGTGTGCTTTGCTTTTGAATCACCTGCATCACCACTTACAGGTTCAGCCCTTGATCCAGTAGAGAAGCTCCTGCAAAAAACAAATAGTAAAATGTAAAAAGAGAGTGGCATGTTTTAGTAGTTCTATCTTGGTATGTTATTTTTGTATGGGATGGTATAATAATAATAATTTAATATCTTATACAGCATTCCTCTAGCCGTTACCAGCCATTCCAAGCGCCTGTCGTTGATCAGTCTCTACATTGGTTGAAAGCCAAATGAAAGAGATACGACTTCAAAATACTTTTAAAGAACCTGACAGACTTTGCACATTGCAGCTCGATAGGGAGAGTGTTCCAAAGCTTAGACAGGAAGAGCATGATCACCAAAATGAGAGAGAGAAAGAAAAAAGAAAGAAAGGGAGAGAGAAAGTAAAAAGAAAGAGAGAGAGTGAAAGAAAAAAGAAAGAAAGAGAGAGAGAAAGAAAGAAGAAAGAGAGAGAGTGAAAGAAAAAAGAAAGAAAGAGAGAGAGAAAGAAAGAAGAAAGAGAGA